CCACAATGAAAGAGTTATTATAAGAAATTAAACAAAAGTGAAATACGAATTTCTAGAGAATAAATTATATAGGCTTGTTTTACACGTACCTTTCTCCCATTGTTGGCCTGAATCTCTACTTCTTGATCAGTAATCTGTGATACTTTTCTATCTATCCACGCTATATCTGAGTCTTCAATCCAAACGTGCAAACCTACAATTATATTCACTGGAATTCCCTGCTCACAAGCAAAAGAATATAAATTATGTTGTTAGAATATCAAAAATTAAAAAATTTATAATTGGATCAATAACAATTTTGCATGCATGCATATTCTGATATGTTCAACATTTACAATACAGAACAAACATATATACATTCCAACCTCAAAAACTTACCATTTGTTAATTTCTTTTGTGTGATCCTTCTTCTTCTTCTTCTTCTAGCTAACTGATTACATGTTATGATTCAAAACTCTCTCTCTCTCTCTCTCTCCAAGAAAAACTGCCATGAAAGAATCAAGAAAAAGAAAAAAGAGATAGGATCATCAAACCAGACAAAATAATTGGTTGACAAGAATTTTTTTGTTCCTTTTTGGTGAATGTGGATCTAATGAATGGTGGGGGTGACATTCTTTACAACATCCACTAACTTCGCTTTGCTTCCTTTCCTCTCGCAGCATCATGAATGTTTTGTCAGACAAAATAATATATTAGCGATGAATGTCATCGAAAATAAGTCATCATGAATGTTTTGTCAAACTTGTCATTGATAATGACGTGTTCAGTCATATTTATGACGACAAATGTCGTCGCTTGTAATTTAGACTATTTGCGATGACTTTTTTCAAATTTATCATCGCAAAAAATGTTTTCCTTTTTCCCCTAATTTCTTAGTAATATTAATTATTAATATATAAATTAGGAGAAAATTTAATAATAAAAAACTCAAATGTTTGCAAATAGGTTGAATAATGAATATAAGGAAGGGGTTGAAGAATTTATTTCTTTTGCAAAGAATACAATGAAAAGGAATATTATTCATTGTCCGTGTATGCAATGTGGCAATATTAGAAGGCAATTGATGCAAGATCTTAGATTTCATTTTTTCTGATATGGCATTGATCGAACTTATCAAACATGGATATGGTACGGTGAAGAGGTTCTAAGTTCATCTTCAGCGGTTGGGGAAATTGAGAGGAATAATGTTGATATTGATCATGAAGATGATGGAAGTAACATAGTTGATATGATTAATGATATGGAGGAAGAATTTGTGCACCGACTGAAATTATTTGAGAAGATGATGGACGATGCAGAGACACCATGGTATAGTGAGTGTAAGAAGTATAACAAATTGTCCAGATTAATTAGATTGTGGAACTAAAAGGCGTCGGATGAGTGGTCAAATGTAAGTTTCACAGGACTCTTAAAATTTCTAAAAGATGCACTTCCAGATAATAATCAAGCGTCAGGTTCTATGTACGAGGCTAAGAAAATGTTGAGCTCTATGGGGATGGAATATGAGAAAATACATGAGTGTTCAAATGATTGTGTGCTATATCGAAAAGAATGTGAAGATTTGGAAGAGTGTCCTTCGTACTCCGAGCAATTTTGATGTGGACTATTAACGACTTCCCTGCATATGGAAACCTATATGGGTACTCGGTTTAGAGTTCCATAGGTTGCCCTGTTTGCATAACAGAGACATCTTCAATCCGATTGAAACATGGAAAGAAAATGGTGCACGATGGCCATAGGAGATTCTTACATATGAATCATCGATACCGCAAACAAAGAAAAAATTTTAATGGTAAAACAGAAGAAAGAACACCTTCAAGACCTTTGATAGGTAAACAAGTGTTTGAGGTGGTCAAGAATGTAAACGTGGTCTTCAGAAAAAAGAAAGGAACAAATAATGAGCCAGTGATCAGACCTTAGAAGAAAAAGTCGATTTTATTCGATCTTCCATATTGGAGTTCATTGTTAATTCACCATTGCTTGGATGTCATGCACATTGAGAAGAATGTTTGTGAGTGGATAGTTGGCACGGTACTTGACATCCCTAGTAAAACTAAAGACGACCTCAATATACGGTTGGATCTAATGAAATTGAACATTAGAGGTGACTTGGCTCCTAAGAAAACAGGCTCCCGCACTTACTTACCTTCGGCTAAGTACACATTATCGAGACAAGAGAAGAATGAATTATGTGAATGGCTTGCTTCTATCAAAGTTTCAAAAGGGCATTCATCTAACTTCAAGAACTTAGTGTTGGTGAAAGAATTGAAGCTGACTGGCATGAAGATACATAATTGTCATACTTTGATAGAACAACTGTTGCCACTTGCTTTGTGTGAGATTCTAACAAAGGGGGTCAGATTTGTACTTTTTGCTACTTCTTTAACTCCATATGTTCCAAGGTAGTAGATCCAGTCACGTTGGATACACTACAATCAGAGTTGGTGATGACCTTGTGCATGCTAGAGAAGTATTTTCCACCATCATTCTTCAACATCATGATTCATCTAATAGTACATTTAGTCCGCGAAGTTAGGCTTTGTGGGCCAGTGTACTTAAAGTGGATATACCTTTTTGAAAGGTACATGAAGATTCTAAAAAGTTATGTTAAGAATCAAAATAGGCCGGAGAGTTGCATTGTGGAAAGTTATATAGCTAAAGATGTTGTGAAATTTTGCTCTGAGTACTTGTCTAACACGGAAGTAATTGGTTTACCAAAGAAGGTAAACATGGAGTCAAAAGGTAAATATGTAGGTATTCCTTCCTTTGTTCCTCGCGAAGCATAAGAACAAGCTTGTCTCTACGTGCTACTACATAATACTCGTGTGGTGGAACCATACATAGAGGTCCACAAAAAATAAATAAAGGCGGCAAACCTAAAAAGAGGGAGAAATGAAAAGTGGTTGCAAGATGAACATAACCAGACATTTAGAGAGTGGATAAGGACACACATTTACTCCAAGTTCACGATTTAGGAAATGAAGGTGTGTCAGAAGACTTGTTTAAGCTAGCCAGAGGACCCTTATTGATGGCAATGAAATACACGTCACACTGAATAAATGACTATACCTTGTACACTTGGGAGCGAGATGAGAAGTACCTAGCCTAAAATAGTGGTGTTAGTCTCCGTGCTAATGCTATGCATATTTTGTCAGCAAAAGATAAGAATCCCGTATATAGAACAATGACCTACTACAGTTTTGTGGAGGACATATGAGAACTTGACTATTGCGGCTACACTTGGGAGCGAGATGAGAAGTACCTAGCCTAAAATAGTGGTGTTAGTCTCCGTGCTAATGCTATGCATATTTCGTCAGCAAAAGATAAGAATCCCGTATATAGAACAATGACCTACTACAGTTTTGTGGAGGACATATGAGAACTTGACTATTGCGGATTGTGAGTGCCATTTTTTATGTGTAAGTGGGCCGACAATAATTATGTGAAGGTTGATAGTGACGGCGCTACAGTGATTGACTTTCAAAGAATGGGCTACAAGAATGATCCTTTCATTTTGGCAACGCAAGCAAAATAAGTTTTCTATACAACCGATCCCAATGATTTAGAGTTGTCCTTAGTTGTTCCCATGAAGCCAAGAGCTATACGTGATGGCAAAGGGGATGATGATGATTGCAATGACATTCCATCGATGAGTTAAGGCTTAGCACCCGTTGACGAGGTTGATTTTTTTTATGATGATGATTCAAACCTTGTCAGCTTAGATGTTGAATGGACATTTGTTGAAAATAATAGAAAGAGAAAAAATGATAAACTATATGTTTTATAAAATATTAGATGACGGTTTTATAAAATATGCGCCAAGTCTATTATTGTTGAGATTAGACGATAGTTTACTAAGAAAACTGTCGTCTAATGTAATTTTTAACGACGGATAAAAACCGTCGTTATATACCACGGACATTTAACGACTCGCGACTAGACGACATATAATCTTTTAACGACGGTTATTAACGCTCATGATGTAAGCATGCATTAAAACTTCATTAAAAATAATAAATGGTTGTAGTTTAAGGCTAAGTTCATGCTCATTTTGATATTAAGGTTTTTAAAAAATATCTTTACAATAATCATGAGTGTAAGACTTTGAATACGTATATATTCCTATTGACTAACGATCTACATGTACCCAACATATCGGATAGCGAAGATTTCTTATTATCGTTAACTAATCTATTGTGACTGGATCATGATTTGACCTAATTATGAAAGATAGAAAGGCACGTGTTTTACCAAGACTAGTAATAAGTCATTGAGGCGCAAGTTTTGTTTGTATATAAAACATGCTTGTTTGTTTAGTTTCAATAGTTTTTAATATTTATAGAATTATGAAGAAGTAAAATAAAAATGTTATTTATTCTTAGTTATGAAAAGTAGTATTCCAAGTGGCATGGTCGAACGGAGACATGATTGGATACCATGATGATAAATAATTATTATTATTATTTTAGGAGATAAATCAGTATTATTTTAGACTAATTCAATTTTCATTTTTTCTATCATCTTGTATAGCTTAACCTGGTCATTGCGCATTGCTTTATTACTTTTTATGGTTGTTGTCATTTTGCATTGCATGCTGATACCATTTATTTAGGTTCTATCGTTTCTTATTGGTGTCGTTTTTTAAGATATATATTTTTTAAATATCTATTGTCGTTGACGGATTACAATTTATCACCTGAAAATTGTCTCATCGACACCAAAGATATGCATATGTTTTGTGCCTTGCACTATCTTCACTAGCATCCAAACACCGGCAGGCTACCATCTTTTCCCAATACTCTCCGCCTTTCACGGTGGTGCCGCCCCTTGTACATCCGGAAGAATAAAAAAAATGTCAAATATGCTATTCTTTCCCTTAACTATAACAACGGCTAGGTAGTAGTTAGTTGTACAACATAATTCATATGGAAAATCAATCATTACATTTTGGTTGGGAGCAATGGCATCCCAGTTTGAAATCAAAGAAAAACTAGCTTTGAGGAGGTTTTTTTCTCCAATGTAAACCCTACTATTTGAAATTCTAAGCAATAGAAATCAATCTGAACGAGGCAACAAGAAACTGAACCCCGTGTTCTCGCGGATAAGTGGCGGTGGTTCAATGTCAGCGATGTCTATTTGCTCCATCGATTTTGACAAGTCGTCAACTGAAAATGGAATACTGCAACAGAAAAAAAATTGTGAGTGATTATCCATATGTAACAGTAAATTTCTTGCATCACAAGTCAGTGAGTTCTGATCAGTAACTAACCTGGAATCGTCGTCTAACAGGAAAGAATTACTGACGGCATTATTGGAATCTTCCGTCATTAGAACCCTCATATTGGAAATAACCTTAAATTTTCGGAAGAAAGGCCGGTTAGTGTTTAGGTAAATGTATATTTTTACCGATGTACATATTAATTTGGTATTATACGTATGTCTCGAACCTAGAGCCTTTTTCTTTTTGAGTAATGGTGTCCATAGAAGAGACTTACATCCGTTGACACACTATGCGTGCCGTATTTGTCATCCCAGTACATTGTACTGATCCGGTACAGCTGTTGTATGCTAAGAACCTGTGCATCAAGAAAATTGGGGTTTGTTCGAGATGCTCAGATCAGTGGATTAAATCTTTACGCATGAAATAAGAACAATGTTAGGAGGCATCGGTCGGTGATATTTTGCATCATACACTAATAAAAAGTGGATCCTATGGTTAAGTCTAACACTCCAACTTTCTATTATTTGAGATGCTACTGAGCATTTTTCATAAATTAACAGTCAAGACTATAGTTTGGTACAACCAGTCTTTTTATGAGGCATTGGATGATGTGAAAATTGATTTAAACTATTGAAATTTGAGCTCCTGTTTTTGTCAGTTGAACCCAACAACTAAAGATTTCAACAATCCAAATCTTTTTTATTAATCATCATCCAATGACTAAAAAGCAATATAACCAAGAACATACCGGGCACAAATCATGGCTTATCTCATCTAATGTTTTCTTGGGTTTTTGGTGTATGACCTGAGGAAGAAGACAAAATCTTAGTAAAAGTCTAATATTTGGTGTAGTAATGGAGTGTGGAATTCGGAAACAACAAAAGAACAGGAAAATACCAGGAACCCAATTGCCTGCCTAATGTGCTTGAGCTCCTCCCAAGATGAACCTGCGTACTGCAATTTTTTTTTATTTAATTTAGTTGTTAAATTTCATATAGAAGAACCACAAAGTTTTGAGGTGATAAAAACTTAAGACAGGTAGATACCTCATCGGTTGCCTTGTAACACCAATGTTCAAGTTCAGCTAATCCAGCTTTAACATATTCACCATTACTAAACGAACAACATTCTCTTCTTAATAGAAGACTGCAGCTCACAAACACACAAATTAACAAAAGTTTTTCTTTTTAGTCATGAAACAATATTCATAAACAGGTCTGGACATTCACATACCTGTTGAATAGTTGAACGTTGATGAAAGAAAATATTTGTGTGAACACTTTACGGACCAAGAATGGAGGTACCTGAATGAAAGGAGAAAAGATGATGAGATGAGGAGAGGTGAGATTATTGGAATAAGAAACTTCACATTCGATAAATTGGGACTATACTGACGTGATTTGATTTTAATGTGTTTAAGAAGCTCCCTAGGCTCTTGACAATCCCTTGCCAGTGAGCTATCAGAGCTCGTTGCGCCTCGGTGTTGGCAACTGATTTTGATGATCCCTTAACCAAGCTTGCTCTCGATGTTCTTGGTGCCTAATAAAAGTAAACGTGAAAGAAAAACCCGGATTAACATTTCAAAAGAGAGAAATAGACAGTTGAATTAATCAACAAGTTGATAAAAGAAAGGAAAATGATACGCATCATGAAACTTTCTTGATGTGTATCATTGCTCTAGAAGGAAACTAAAAGACCTGGATGCACAAGCCAAGCAAAGGAGAAATTTCTTTCTTTAAGTTATCTCGGATCATGCCATAAATCTTTTCTACGTAAGCTGTGAGCTGCTGTTTGAAAAGTAGAGCTGGGTACTTGGCTTCAACTTGGCGTAAGGTGTCAACTCCGCCATTCATGCCACCGTTGATCAAGGAAAGATTGACTCCTTGTGGAGTGCCGCGGAAACTCTAGTATCATAACAAAAAACAAAAACATGTATTGAATGTGAATTGATTGAAGAAATGAAGGTTTTTCTGAACAGAATTCACCGAGTTAATTTTGACAAGAAACTTATGTTTACTTGAGTCATTCTTCCGAACAATGTGGCCGACGAGGAACGGCGTCGTTGTGGAGTCATTCCTGCAGCACCACTCGCTTTCAAGGTTCGTTGCAGAAGCAAGAGAAGTGTAGAGGCATTGGATAACCAATAGGCCAAAACGTCATTGTTATCCTGAGTCTGAAAATCCAAAGTTTACAGTATTTCAGGTTAGGAAACAGAAAGAAGAAACAGAAAAACCAGTTTTGGGGAGAATTCGGGACCTCAATAGCATGGCCTATGGTTTGGATGATCCTGTCAAAGACACTAGTTCTCTCCACTTCAAAAGATCTCCACTGCAAAAGGCATTTGTATATGATGCAAGCAGCAATTGGTCTGTTGGCTGCGAAACCGAGGTGTTGCGCTACACATCTAATGAGCAACTCCTGATTCTCCTGTTGTTTTTCATTGAGTGATTTCTGAGGCTTATCTTCTACTTCAGAAGACTCCCTTTGGACCATTGAAGGGCTATGAAGGTCCTGATTCATGTCGATAGTTCAAACAAATAAGTAAACTTAAGAAAGAGAACTTATTGATTGATTTTGAATTCAAGAGAGCTTTTTATTTCTGACCAAAGGTGGCTTCACATCCACGTTGAGATGACCGCTTTCTCCACCTCTCTGCCAAGAATCAAGTCACAAGAAAATATTAACCCATATGTGAAGCAAAGTTCAATATGACCACTCGTTCATGTAAGAGTCTGTTCCTGCAGTACCTGAAGAATTGATCTCGAACGCCCCGATAAGAACTTGTTTGGTGCCATTGACACAGCTTGTTGGCGTAGAACTTGGTTTTCTGATTCCAAATTGGAAAGCTTCTCTTCTAGCCTAATCAAGCAAGGATAAGTGTTCAATTAGCCAACGTAACTTAATGGTGGTGAATGTTTTTAACATATAAGTATACGTTACCTGGTCAGTGATTCCTGAAGCTGTTGAACTTTCTTCTCTGTTTCTTCCAACTTTTTACATCCTTGTTCGCTAGATTCTCGAGACTCATTGTATTTTCTTTCGTAATTGTCAGCTCTTTCCTTTTCGGTCTTCAACAAGTCCTGCGGGTCAAAGCCAGGTTCAGGATTAGCAAAATTTACTCATTATCGTTTACTGCTAAAGATAATGAATACTAGATGAAGCCTTGTACTTGTAGGCCCTCCACTTCTGCCTTTAAAGAATCAATCTTTTGAGTATCTTCAACAAGAACTTGGGTTTCTTTAATAACCGGAGGCGCTTCTTCAATGGCCTTCTTTGCAGCTTCTCTTTCCTTGACAAGTAATGCATTTGTTTCATCAACTTTGTTCTGCATTTCTTGTAAGGAATTCTGCAATTTCGTAACCTCCTGTGCTTTAGCTTCCTCTAGGTCAGTCTGCAAACAAGTAAAAATGCACAAGTTCTAATTGCTGAAAACATATTTCATGTATCTTCTGTAAATAACAATATTCTTTACCAAGATATGAAAATTACTCTTAAACGCTTCTCTAATTGTAGACGCCAAATAAGTTCCTCCGCTCGTTTTTCCAGCTTATCCTTTGCTTCCTTAAGTGCACCGGTTTCCCTAGCAGCCTGCAGAAAATGGGAGAAAGATATAAGAATCATATGAAGAAAATGAGCAACTAAAATGCATATTACAAAATGTATCAAGAACACTTAGTGGCTTGATCATTGTGCATTAAAATTCAGGAGTACAAGAATTTGCCTGCATCTAATTTTTAAGCTAATAATAGTAAGTTAATTGATTTTATGTTAGATCAAACCAAATGGCAGTTTGACTATTCCATCAACTATAATATCACTTACCATTTTGAGCTTTCTGAGTTCCCTTCTTGCAATTCTTCCCCTCCATCTGCATTGCGCTACAACTGAGCCCTTCTTGAGCTTCTTATAATATGAAGCGGCTTTATGACAACGCCACCGAGCCTGCATATATCTCAAGTTTAGCTCCGACTTTTCACTAACAATCCAAGTAACAGTTCATCGGCAAAGCGTTCTTATATTTACCTGAATGATTATGGCGGCTTTAGTCTTCTTCCTGAATCTAAATTGGTTTCTAGCAGCCATTGCTCTTAAACCTGTTTGAAAGACAAGCACCGAGACATGGAGACTCTTGTATGCTTTTCTCGCATGGTATTTGCGCGTGTGCTTCTGAATTTTCACAGCTGCAGCCTCTCTCTTCAAGTTCTCAAAAAGCTTGCAGGCCAGTCTTCCTGCACAATGCACCAAACAAGATATTTTCACTAACCAGTCCATGATGTCCTTAAGAACATTATTTATAAAGCTAGTATAGGTTTCAGAAGGCTCACCTCTCCATAGTGATTGTACAGAAATGGTGGCCTTTCGCAATGCAATGAACTGCTTCTGAGCCTGATGTGTTCGCACACGTCGCTGGATTGTTTTTGCTGCATTACTTAGTACCTCTGCTCTTCTTGCATCTAATTCTGCCATCTGACCAGCTCTTAAAAATACCTTTGTTTTACCTATCTGCATGACCATTTATTTTCTCAGTAAAACATGATATGTATATATAGATATACATGCCTCTGTGTGAAAAAAGAAGCAAATAATGCCTCATATTACCTGAAACCCTTTAAGCCCCTTCTTTTCCAAAATCTTTTTGCAAGCAACTTTTTCATCATAGCTACTGATTGGAGGAACAAAGTGTCAGAAAGAGAAATCAATAACCAGAAGTATTTTCTTACTTCAGACAGATGCTAACAACAAGATACTTACTGGCCTTCCAAGGCTTCAGGCGCGAGGAGCCCGAACCGGTTAATGAATTCGAAGAACGGTCTGCGAGTTGGATATCCAGCACAGCTGATTCTGATTGCCTCCAGGACACCCTATAATGAGAATTTACAATGATTAGTGGGAAGAGAAAAGAGCTAGAAACATTTTTGTTGAGATTGAAGAAATTAATGAAAGAGTTTGTTTTGCTTACACCACATCGCAATTGTTGCATAATATTGACATTCTCAAATATGGCAGGTTTTAGAAGGTTGTTTGGCTTTACACATCTGATATAATAAGGTTCTGTGGAATTCAATGTCTCCATTAGTTGCTGGAGTTGCAGCTGCAAAATTCAGAACACGGGAATAGATAAATAATATTAGTAATGTATTTCTTGCAGCATAAGAAAGAGTTTCTTATCACACTCATCAAAGTTCATTTCAACGCAAGTACCTTAAATCGAGAACCGATTGAAGAAAACTTGGATGATTTAGTTGTCTCTTCTTTGAGTGGAGGGAAAAGGCCTGCTACAAAAGAACATTTCGAAACACTCAACAAATCTTGATGCTCAGGAACCACATAGTCCTTGTTTTTGTCCAAAAATTGGTCAGATTGATAAAGGACCTAAAATGAAGAGTTGATGAGATAAACAACAATGAAATAGCAGTTAATTCAAGCAGCAATATTGATACTTGGCATTATAGATTATACCTCTCCAGCATAATGGGATATAGTGAAATCCGTCCGAGAAAGTTTTGGCTTTATAAAGCGTTTGTGATTTTTGAATGTTTGATAAAGCTTGTTTGCAAAGGTTTCATGTGTTGACTTTGGAAACATGCTGAAAAAGAGAAAAAAAAAATGAAAAAAAATGAAAAGCAGAGAAAAAGTTAGTAAGATGGATAGAGCTTAAAGAAATGGAGTGGCGAAAATTTAACATGAAGTATCTTACCAAGCTTCATCAAGAAGTGCGACTATTCCACCAGGTTTCTGTATTTAAGGAAAAAAAAATTATTAAGTGAAATACTTGTACCAGAAATTTTTGTTCCTCATAAAAAGAAATTTTTGTTCCTCATAAAAGTGAACTCCAAAGAAGAAGAAGAAGAAGAAGACAGTGGTGTCATGTGAAGGAAAGAGCATAAACCTTTTCGATAAGATCCAATACATCTTGATTATCAACAAATTCAATGTAGCTCCAATCAATCTCCTCTTTGGTGTACTCTTCTTGTTCCATTTTGAAGACGTGCTGAAATCATTAACAAACAGTACTTCAGTCTACTAAACAGTCACTAGTATAAAAGTATAATCAGTCATTAACATCTGATGATAACTTACCTGATTGAAATGTTGCTGCAGTTTCTCATTTGTGAAATTAATGCAGAACTGCTCAAAACTATACAGCAGAAAAAAAAATGCTGAACTAACTTACAAAGAACCGCCCGATCAAAATTTAGTAAATTCTTAAACATATATTACCTGTTAGTCTTAAAGCTTTCAAAACCGTAGATGTCGAGGACCCCAATGAGAGATTTTGAGTTAGCATCTTGACCGATTGAGAAGTTGATTTTATCCACCAACCTGAATATAGTCATACAGAATTTGGCATCGCAACAATATATCAATTCTAAATATTCATCACATACTGTGATGGTAAATTACAGGACATTTTTAAAGCTTATGATAAATCACATTACAATGCCTTACCAGTCAAACAATCTGGAATATATTGTCTTAGCCAAACCGTCTCGGCTAACTGCTGCACTTTCGGGATCAAGGGTTCGTTTTATGACTTCTTCGGGGGTGATCATCACACGCTTACACAATGCATCTTCCAAAGCATCAGCATCACACCTGAAATTGGAGTAATACTCGAAAAGATTTTATCATTATAAGATAGGGATATAAACTGTGGTGGCAATATCAGGAAGGAAATCACACATGAGAAGCTCTGCAGTCATTTTCAGATGGAACTTGGCTTTATCATCTTTCGGAACTGACGAATCGATCTCCTTTCCCTTTGTGAATTTGATGTTCCCAATGTGTAGAATTGCTGCAACAACTCTAAAAATTGCTTCCTGAGAGAGTGAAATAAAGAAATATAAAGATGGTGAGAATTTGGTTTCTTTGTTCTATGTCATGAAGAAAATGCTGGTTTAAAGAGGCCAAACCTGCTCTTTGGCACTGATTCCGACAATGTCCATTGCTCTCCTAGTGGCAAGGTAGTCATGAGCATCATTTACACCAACCAGCTCATAGCAATTTGATTGGTTAAGATAGTGAAATGATTTAGGATTCCCCAACTTGTATTTTTCAATTTCCTGACAATATTATTACAACATTAGCTCTCAAGGTTGAAGCAGACAACAGTCAACCGGACAAGGTGCATTGTTTACTGAAAAACACCTCTTGTGGTGCAGCACAAAGAAGGTAAAAACAGTGGTAGTTGCGCTCAGGATCGGAAATTTGACAAACACGTGACCGTTCTAAAAGGTAAGTTCTGATTGCTGCTCCTGAGATTCTTCCTTGCTTATCAAATTGGATCTCAACAAATTTACCAAAACGACTGTCCCAACATTTGTTGTAAAGAGTACTGTTATTATAAGGTACTACACAAGGAATGTCGACAGTTCAACTAAAAAAGTTCAAGGGTGTCTCACCTAGAATTGTTATTTCTAACAGTTTTAGCATTGCCAAATGCTTCAAGTACTGGATTTGACTGCAATGGGAATTGAGTACATCAGTGTTAGTACAGATTTGCATAAGAAATTTGACTATGGAAAAACAACCTAGTGGCGGGACACCATTTTAACTTTCAGATTACATCATATATAGTCAAATCAGAACACTTGATACAAATTAGATCTTGCATTTAAAAACTGAGTCCTATCCATCACCTATCAAAGAATTATCCGAAGAATTTAAAGGAACCTAACCACTAAAACAAAAAAACAAGTTTCATCCTAGTGAAAACTCATACTTCAAGAACTTGTTGTTCTACTGTTCTTCCTTCTGTAACAGCCCGGCCACCAAGAAAGGCCAGGTACCTCATAAGCATTTTGGTGGTCTCAGTTTTACCCGCGCCACTTTCACCGCTGACAAGGATCGAATTGCTTTTTCCCTCGTTAATCATCGCCCTGATTTTTTCGAAGGACTTGTTAACTCAAATCCTTTCATTAATAAAGACAAGTAATATATAGAATCAATCTAAAGCAGAAGATTATAGATAGATAACCTGTATGCAACATCAGCAACTGCAAATACATGAGGACTGAGCTCCCCGAAAGGCGCACCCTTGTATTGTTGCATCATGTGAGCATCATAAATATGGGGCAATCTTTGGAAGGGGTTAATGGCAATAAGGATGTTTCCAGTATAAGTCTGCCAAGGAAAGATTATACATGTTAAACAATTGAAATTGCATTAAGGATTCTCTCTTTAGAACAAAGGGACAAATTATTAGCAACCTTAAGGGTGAAAGGATTAGCGCTTTAACACACGCTTACATAGATTTCATTAAGCTCATATCTAATCTTCAAATTCTCCAAGACTCCAGGTTCATGCAAATAAGACAACTTTGTCATGTCATCAACTCCACCAGCAGGAGCTTCCGTATCTCTCGGATATATTTTTGATAAGTTTGCAACAACCTTAGAAAAAAAAAAAACCAAAATGAAAGAGTTATTATAAGAAATTAAATAAAAGTGAAATACGAATTTCTAGAGAATAAATTATATAGGCTTCTTTTGTGTGATCCTTCTTCTTCTTCTTCTTCTTCTTCTTCTTCTTCTTCTAGCTAAGTGATTACATGTTATGATTCAAAACCCTCTCTCTCTCTCTCTCCAAGAAAAAACAGCCATGAAAGAATCAAGGAAAAGAAAAAAGAGACAGGATCATCAAACAAGACAAAATAATTGGTTGACAAGAATTTTTTTGTTCCTTTTTGGTGAATATGGATCTAATGAATGGTGAGGGTGACATTCTTTACAACATCCACTAACCTTTAGGAAAATTATTAAAAACATCCACTAACATTCCTTACAAAAGAAAATCCAAAGTATTTCTTTTGTTTAGGGAACTACTTTACTAAGATTGATTTTATCCCTTTACAGAGGATTGAAAAATAATAAAAATCATTTTCTCATGTAAATAGGAAAATACTTTATAAAAAAAAGAAAAATTAAAGAAATTAAACATCTTAACAGTCATTCCTCTAAGCCCCTTTATATAAGCTTTAAGAATGAACTGTAAATACAAAAAACTGGTGGCTAAGAATTGATTAATTTGTGACAATTCATTTTACTTGACCATCATTTAACTACTTGGTTAAATCTAATCTATACAATTTTGTGAACTTGAATCATGAGCCTTGAGCTTTGCCAATTTTGAGCCTTTAGGCCTAAACCTAATCCAACAATGACTTATTTAATCTTTTTATTATTAAAGAATAATCTAATTTTTCTTTCATTGACGATGGATTAAGTTAATCCGCCGTAGCTTTGAATTCTCAACCAAAAAAAAAAAGCAGAGAGATCACAAAAGATCTTATGCCATATTATATATCTAGTCAAAATTAACATTTGTTTAATTGAAAGGTGAAAAGAAAATATATTGGGGTTCATTTGGGCAAGCTCAAAATTTTTTTGCAAACTGATTAAAATTGAGTTTTAACTTTTAAGAAAGAAAGAAGAAAAAGGACACCATAATCTGTAATCTTACACAAATTATTCGCTAATTAGAATTTCTAAACTAAGAAATTTATGGCCGCAAACTTCCAAAACCGTGCTAACATGTAGAGCAAGATATCACATTAATTCAAATCGCTCTATGAAATTAGGAAATTTCAGTTAATTTACGACGAGGTATAATTTTGCAAATATATAGCAGGCTAGCAGCGTGCGTGTCTATATATAGGGCACGTAGTGTTGATGATATATATATATATATTATGTGTATACGCGCGCACGCGTACATGCACGGTGTAAACTAAGTTTACTATTTCTAAAAATGAATAAATAGCATATTTTAATAATATATGTATGACAACATTAAGGATATTAATGACACACATTAATAGAAAATGGGTCTATCACAATATGAGCCTTATTTTCTAATAAATATAGTGTTAATAACAATATGAGCATTTTTTGTTTGTACGCAAAAACTGCTTTGAGTATGATTCTTGATTTTTTTAGGAGAATAAGTACTGACGTTGACTTTTAAATCGTGAGTATGATTCTTGATTTTTTTTTGGTGAATAAATATTGACGTTGACTTTTAGATCTTGGACTATCCTAAGTTATTGAGTATATCATGATTGTATTTTATAGATTTAAATTACTTTTTAACTATTTATTACAATATTTTTTCTTAAAAAATTAAAATGTCTTTTTAAATTTTTCTGTTTAAATCTATAAACTAAACAAACTCAACATTTACTTAAAACTCATAAGCAATATTAATAATCAATGGCGGAATTAGGATTTTGTTTTAAGAAGACGTAAGTTAAAAATGAAAGAGTTATTATAAGAAATTAAATAAAAGTGAAATACGAATTTCTAGAGAATAAATTATATAGGCTTGTTTTTCACATACCTTTCTCCCATTGTTCGTCTGAATCTCCACTTTTTGTTCAGTAATCTTTGATACTTTTCCATCTATCCACGCTATATCTGAGTCTTCAACCCAGACGTGCGAACCTACAATTATATTCACTGGAGTTCCCTGCTCACAAGCAAATTAAAAAATAAAAAATCTGTTGTTACAATATCACAAATTGAAAAATTTATAATTGGATCAATAACAATTTTACATGCATGCATATTCTGATATGTTCAACATTTATAATACAGAACAAACATATATACATTCTAAACTCAAAAGCTTACCATTTGTTAATTTCCTTTGTGTGATCCTTCTTCTTCTTCTTCTTCTTCTTCTTCTAGCTAAGTGATTACATGTTATGATTCAAAACTCTCTCTCTCTCTCTCCAAGAAAAAACAGCCATGAAAAAAGAATCAAGGAAAAGAAAAAAGAGACAGGATCATCAAACAAGACAAAATAATTGGTTGACAAGAATTCTTTTATTCCTTTTTGGTGAATGTGGATCTAATGAATGGTGGGAGTGACATTCTTTACAACATCCACTAACCTTTAGGAAAATTATTAAAAACATCCACTAACATTCCTTACAAAAGAAAATCCAAAGTATTTCTTTTGTTTAGGGAACTACTTTACTAAGATTGATTTTATCCCTTTATAGAGTATTAGAAAATAATAAAAATCACTTTTTCATGTAAATAGGAAAAACACTTTATAAAAAAAGAAAAATTAAAAAAACTAAACATCTTACACAGCCATTCGTCTAAGCCCCTTTATATAAGCTTCAAGAATGAATTGTGGACACAAAAAACTTGCGGCTAAGAATTGACTAATTTATGACAATTCATTTTACTTGGTCACCATTTAGCCACTTGGTTAAATCTAATCTGCACAATTTTGTAGACTTGAATCATGAGCCTTGAACTTTGCCAATTTTGAGCCTTTAGGCCTAAACCTAATCCAACAATGACTTATTTAATCTTTTTATTATTAAAGAATAATCTAATTTTCCTTTCATTGACGATGGATTAAGTTAATCCGCCGTAGCTTTGAATTCTCAACCAAAAAAAAAAAAAAAGCAGAGAGATCACAAAAGATCGTATGCCATATTATATATCTAGTCAAAATTAGCATTTGTTTAATTGAAAGGTGAAAAGAAAATATATTGGGGTTCATTTGGGCAAGCTCAAAATTTTTTTGCAAACTGATTAAAATTAAGTTTTAACTTTTAAGAAAGAAAGAAGAAAAAAGACACCATAATCTGTAATCTTACACAAATTATTCGCTAATTAGAATTTCTAAACTAAGAAATTTATGGCCGCAAACTTCCAAAACCGTGCTAACATGTAGAGCAAGATATCACATTAATTCAAATCGCTCTATGAAATCTTTAGAAGACGTAATGCCTTCGAATTACTCAAAGCCGTGTTACATTTAAATTTTGATAACTATATATATATATATATATATGTGCGTTGGATCATATGATGAGGAAATTTCAGTTAATTTACGACGAGGTATAATTTTGCAAATATATAGAAGGCTAGCAGCTTAGTTAGTGCGTGTCTATATATAGGGCACGTAGTGTTGTTATATTGGTAGAAAAAATTCCTTTTTGGCGTTTGCCCTTTTCTTTAGAATACGATTAGAATTACAATTTGACGTTTCGTTCAATTCCACAATGAAAGTTTGATTGGCAAAAAAGAGAGGCAAAAGTGTTGCGACCAGAAAATGGTGTACTGCTAAATTAGAAAACTGACGTTGCAAAGACCAGTCAAACGAATCATGCACAAATATTATGGTATAAATTATGTATCACTTCCGATGTTTGGAGTAATTCAGCTCCCCACCACAATAGTTGATGATATATATAATATATATATATATATATATTATGTGTATACGCGCGCACGCGTACATGCACGGTGTAAACTAAGTTTACTATTTCTAAAAATGAATAAAAACATATTTTAATAATATATGTATGACAACATTAAGGATATTAATGACACACATTAATAGAAAATGGGTATATCACATTATGAGCCTTATTTTCTAATAAATATAGTGTCAATAACAATATGAGCATTTTTTGTTTCGTACGCAAAAACTGTTTTGAGTATGATTCTTAAATTTTTTTGAGAGAGTAAGTACTGACGTTGACTTTTAGATCTTGAGTATGATTCTTGATTTTTTTTTTTGGAAAATAAGTACTGACGTTGACTTTTAGCTCTTGAACTATCCTAAGTTATTGAGTATTTCGTGACTGTGTTTTATAGATTTGAATTACTTTTTAAATATTTTATTACAGTACTTTTTCTTAAAAAATTAAAATGTCTTTTTAAATTAACAAACTCAATATTTACTTAAAGCTCATAAGCAATATTAATAATTAATGGCAGAATTAGGATTTTGTTTTAAGAAGACGTAAGTTAAAAATGTGAGAAGCCTTTAAAACCATCAAATTATCAACTCCTAATCCAATTACGTAGTTGGAAGGACATAAGTAATCAATTTGTTGAATTTTTTACTACGTGATAATAGATTTTTCTTAAAAGTTAAGTTTTTTCATGATTTATTATTCTGTTATGTGTATAATTTATTAAAAAAATAAAATAAAGTAAAACATTTTAAAAAAATCTTTTTGATGGGACAAATTTGAAAATAAATAAGGGTATATAAGAGAAAATAATATTTGGAAAGATTGCTGAAAAAAAAAACATATTTAAGAAGAGACACGTTTAAGAAAGATTATTTTGATAGGAAAATTTAGAAAAAAGTATAGCCACATTTACAAAAATATCCTATTAGAGAGCTACAAGAGCGTATAAAAAAAAAAGTTAAAGTAGGGACACATTTAAAAAAGAAGAAAAATTACCTCAACATAGACAAATGAATTAGAAAGAAACTAAATATTTAAGTAAGCACATATAAAAAAAAATTAATAGGAATAAATAGAGGAAAAGCATGTTAATGAGGAGGTATATATAAGATCTGT